TTTCTCGGGGATCTCGGACTCGCCAGACCATCTCGATGATTCGCTCATCGCGTCGTCATCGTGCTCGTGGTAGACAGTCTCGGCTTCGTCCGGTTCGACCTGATCAACGTCCTTCTTGAAGCTTACCTTCCCTGCAGGAGCCGATTGCTTCAGGACTATCGCGGGCATTGCGATGGCCCTCCTCGCAATGGCAGGCGCTGCGGCTTTGGCGGCAGCCTTCGACTTGGCTTGCGCCTTGTCATTTGACGTTGCTGGAGCTGAATTGTTCTTGATGAGCTCATGCCTGTACTTACAAGCGCTTCCCCTATCGCACTTCCCCTTCTGAAACGCGAAGCATGCTCCATCATCCCTCTTTGGTGACGATGATCTGGACTTGGATTTGCCCTTTCCTTTCCCCTTGGACATGCTCTCCAACTTATGCTCCGTCTTCTTGCTGTGGGAAAAAGTGCATTCATTTCCTTTCACGCACCCCTTCGCCGATTTGAAGTGGTACCAGCAGGGGTTATCCTTGCTTCCGCCCGGACTCTTGCCTCTGTCGCTGGCACCGTCGGACTTGCCGTTCTTGCCAGCGTGGCCCTTTGCCTTGGCTTTTGGGAGCACAGGAGCGGCATCAGGTCCACCGGGTTTCCCCTTTCTGCCCTTGCCACCCTGGTTCTCCTGTTTGCCAGTTGCTGGAGCCGCATCCTTCCCGCCTGACTTCATCATCGACTTGACCGATTTCTCCTTCATGTCGAGCATCAGGTCTTCCCGATCTGCCTTGATCTGATAGTCGATCAACGCCAATAAGAATTCATACGTCTTCTGAGGATGCTTGTCCGGTAGTCTATGGTAGGCATTGAGGCCGAACTCCATCTTCTTGCTCCCTTTGATCTTCCTGTAAAGGATGTCTCTGAGAGCCAGCTTACTGGGTCTGTCCTCGCTCCTCATCTTCAGCAGCAAATCATACCATTTGTTCCTGAACATGACCAAGTTCTTGTCGCCAGGAAAGTCAAGGTTGAATAGATGCTCGATGTGGTAGACAAGATCCGTTCTATCGGAAGTTCTGAATGATTGCATAACTAATGCCACCAACTCTCGTCCCTTCACGATCACCCCTTGTTGATGTCGTAGTTCAGAGTGTCGTGTAGCATCGAGGTATACGTCCTTGGCTTCGTCAGGTGCTTGTTTCAGCATGTTCTGCATGCCCATGGCCATCTTAATATCTATCGTAGCAAATCTGTCGCCACCTGAATCGCTAAGCAAATCCAGGTCTGGGTTCAACCCAAGAGCCTGCTCCAGCCATTTCGTCCATGCGTCGGTATCTGGATCTGCACATGCGCTCAGAACATTCATCAGCAGTTGCATCTTCCAGGTGTCAAGTTGATGGATCTTTGGCCAGGCCGGAATAGATACTCTCTCGGCCTCTTTCCTCGAGATTCTCGGTCGATCATTCTTGATCTCTCGGTTATCTCTCGATCTCCTTCGTCTCCTCCGTGTCCGATCGTCTTCTTCCTCTTCTTCTTCCTCGTCTTCCTCATCTCCTTCGTCGTCGTCATCCTCATCCTCATCATCGGGTGGATCATCCGGAGGTCCTCCTCCGCCACCAGCGAGGCTCAACTGACGTCGACCCGCTCCCTGCCCATTCCCATTGGGCGGGAATCCACCGTAATCCAATGGGGGCGTAGTACCGTTGTTTCCCCCCCATCCCCACCACCAGTCGTAGTAGTAGTGGATTGTGGGACATGCCCAACAACCCCTTGCATCTGGGATAGGTGTACATCGATCATTGGATCACCGAAAGACGGAAAGAGGATCGAACCTGGCATCAGCGACGAATTAGGGATTTGATTTGAAGACGATGACGGGACTGACCCAGCCACCTTCTTGTCTATCCTATTTGAATTAGCCTGGGTTCCTCCCTCAGCGCGTTTCACTACTGCTCGTTCACGATGTCCATCTTTGCTGCTGGAGGCTTCCTGCGTCTCCAGCTTCTTGTGTGCACGTAGTTCCTCGTTGTCAGCATCGAGTTGGCGTACAAAACTCTCTTCTTGCTTGAGCGTCGCCTCTCTTTCCTTCAGTTGTCCCTGAAGCTCATGCATCTCCTCGAGGTACTCATCGTACATTCCCTTAGCTGTCAATCTCCAGTACTCAGCCTCCTTCGACTTCTCGTCCATCGTGCACCGTTCCTCTTGTTTCTCTTCTTTGACCTGGGCTAACTCCAAGATCGCATCCTGACGATGACCACCTTCGACAGCAATCATCTGGTCCTTCATCGACACGTCGGACTCATACTGTTTGACGATCTCTTCTTTTTCGCGAAGCAAGCAATCTGCTCTCTTCGATTCCTGTTCCGCAAATACTGTAACGTCATTCAGCCTCGTCATCAGCTGTTCCCTGGAGTCCTCCAAAGAGTACGTCTCGGGGCGCTTGACGAGTGCATGCTCCAACTGTGATTTCAGACTTTGGACCATCTCCTCCTCGTTGAACTTCTCGATAGATGTAGAAGATTCTATGCCTCTGA